CAAGTCAAATCATCCGGGGATACAAACACTGCAATTTCGAACACACACAACCAATTATTGGTTCATACCTCCATTTTTTTTACTTTTAATACACATGAACATCACCTAAACTATGAAATAACAACAAATAGCAAGATTGATCTCACATGAAACAACTAACTGATGTAAGTATGCACCAACAACCTCACAGACACTTCACTACTCTTACATAACAACTTACAGACAACTCTATGTCAAATCATCTTGCCACACAGACACTGCAATTCGAACAGAAACACAACCAATTTTTCCAATTTTATATTCTTCAAACACATACACATCATCTAAAGTACCAACGTCAAATTCAGCAAGATGTAAGCATATTCATGAATAAGTTCAACTTAAATCCAAAACCAAAAATAATATAAAATGGATGAGTTCAAACATACCGTTGGGCCATTCCGGACAAGCTTGTTCGCACCATGAAATGCCCGCACACCTGGGTCTTCAATGATGGAGTGGTTGGAGTATAGGAGCGACCCTTCACAGTAGTTTTCGAACTGTTTGAGGGTTGTCGATGAGATCCGGGGAAAACGTGAAAGACAGAAAGAGGCTGGTAGGGAGGGAGGCGCAATTCTTTTAGAAGAATGGAGCGGATGAGTGAGATACGTGAAAGAAATTTGAAGCCAAAATAGAGGGGTAATTTTTTGGGGGGAGGGTATATATATGGTGTACCCCAGGGTGTAACCCAGGGTGTACACCAAGACTTTTTGTTAACCAAGAGCTATTTTACAATTGACGAGGTCAAATTCCGTATTTGATTTGAATGGGTGACACAACCACTAAAAGCTAAGTACTCCTTTATTTTCGTATATTAACAATTCCAAAAATATACATAGTACTACATATTTGATTAAAAAAATCATAAATTGAAACATTTTAAAAGAAATGTGATTTAATTGATTTTACTCTTGTTAAGTGTGTTTAATTTTAACATTGAACAACGGACTTATGAAATGTGATCACTCAAGTACGCCGGACGAGCACGCACACTCGTACACTGGTTGAGCACACACACTCGCGCCACCGGGTCACGTCATATGGGTGTGATGATTAATAATCTCCAATATAAATGTTAATACAACACACTTTTGACTTCATATGAGTTCTTGTGTGCTCTTACCTCTTCCTAGTGCATCACACTCCGACCTCGGGGGACGAGTCACCCGTTCAAAAGTTCTTACTTGCGGGTTCGAGTTACTAACCTCGGGCGGCGAGTTAAACTCTTGTTTGGGCCTAGAGTCACGCTCTTCCGTTCGAGTGGGGAGTCCGACTCACTTACTCGCGGATTCAATCTTTCTTTCAGAGGCTAGGTTGAGGCCTAACTTGGGAACTTGATGTCACTCTTTTTGAGTAGTGAGTCCGACTCACTTACTCACTGAAAGTGGTTCGACACCAGACCAAATGCTCTATTCTACACCTGTTGCTTTTATGTGTAGGCACGACTGAATGAAAGCGAGCCTGATGAGTTCGAGCCCGACGAGAAGAACAGTTTTAGTCATCATCTTCGCAGATGGCGACCATTGCAATAAAGGTTGATGATTTCACCTCTTGCTTCATCTTGGGGGCGTCGGGTGTACTCTTTTTCCCTTCATTAGGATTTTTTCCCATTGGGTTTTTTTCTGATGAAGGTTTTTAATGAGGCATCTCCCCGACATGGACAAGGGCGAAGATCTTCCAGTCTCGGAGAAGAGTAGCTGACTTGGACTACTCCCTCTTAGTCGAGTCTACTACTCAACTAAGGGAGTGAGGGACTCGTGATGGAGTAATGGGACTAGGCCCAGAGCCTAATCGGCCCAAGCCCCGAACTTGGACCCGTTGATCCAAGTCCACAACCTGGAGCCTGCCTACCACCCCAACGGGGAGCCTTCCAGTCCGCCCGACCTGCCATCAAGGAATAGTAACGGTCAAGCAATTAATGCGCTGTTTAATTATATATTTAATTCCGTATTAATGTTGTACTCAATTAGTTATTATTATCGATAACGGTTACGATTTGTATACGCCTATAAAAGGCGGGTTGTAATTCAGATTATGGGGGCGAATTCGAGATGTTATTCTTGGCTATCAAACTCTTTAGCAACTTTCTTTATTCATATTATTACTTTCTTGATTCTTACTTGAGTGTTCTTACGTAGATTTCCTAGAAAAGCCTACGAGCGTCCTATTTTGGACCAACACAGAGTGTTTTGTGCTATCAATATGTCATGGAAGAAATCTTAAAGCACGAAGGAGGCAACAATTTCAAGCTCAAACATGTGGGGAAGGACAAGTTACAAAGACAAAGGTTACTGCCAAAAAATGTTCAGATCTCCCCTGACTTGTATCAAACAACTAAGGCATTCATGGATGGCTATATGGCAGCAAACTCCACACATACAAGTCAAGGGACTCAATTCATACATGAAACAAACAATATCTTCAAATGTGAAGTAAATACCCTACTTGGTATACTTTTTGAACCTTTTTGTAAGTACACTAAGCTTATAGGTAATGTGGGGTGTACTGTTTTTGTATGTACAATCAAAGGCATGAGAGTACAAGTTTTTAATGTGCCCCCACTGCTAGTGTACATTTGTTTTTTTAAACAGAAGCAATATAAGCATATTTTAATGTACACTTGTGTACAAACACACCACATAATCATGACATATTCATCATATGTGAGTTATTATAGGCAAACACAAGTAATCATGCTCACATGTTACACATCCATAGGCAAACACAATTAATCATGATCACAAGTATTGTAGCATAGGCAAACACAGATAACCATGATAATAGATTACATATCCTATGCTAACACACCTCATAATCCTCTCACATATTCTTGACATGCGCATCACAAATGAGTTAACATAGGCAAACACAAGTTATCATGATTACAAGGTTTCATATCCTAGGCAAGCAGACCTCAAAATGAATAAATAATCATCACATTTTGCATCACAGGTCTTTTAGCATAGCCAAACACACATCACAATCACCACATGATAGATATGTTAGGCATCCACACCTCAGAATCATCACATATTAATCACAAGTGATTTTTTGTGGGCAAACACAACTAATGATGGTCACAGGTTACACATCCATAGCCAATCCATGCACAAAATCATCACTTATTTATCAAATTTACATCACATGTATTGTAGCATAGGCAAGCATAGATAATCACGATAATAGGTTACATATCCTATGCTAACACGCCTCAGAATAATCACATTTGCATCACAAGTGAGTTACTATAGGCAAACACATATAATCATGATCACAGGTTACAGACCCTAAGCAACCACACCTCAAAATGGATACAAAGTAATCACAATTTACATCACAGGTCTTTGAACACAGACAAACACACCTCAGAATCATCACAGATTCATCACATGTGACTTACTATAAGCAAACACAGATAATCATGCTCAGAGGTTACACATCCTAAGCTAACACACCTCAAAATCAATATAGAGTGATCATATTTTCATGAAGGGTACGTATTTTAGCGCAGGCAAACACATATAAGCATGACCACATATTACATATCTTAGGCAAGCAGACATGCGTCCAGCTTAATAGCATTCCCAGACACACAAACACTCATCACAGTTCAATCACAACCCTTAAATCATCATTAGTTACACAACAAGACAAACCGTTCAATCATCATGCAATGGCCCAACACAACACCCCCTCAATCATCATATGTCCATACAACATCAAAGACACAAAGAGTAAAGGTTCAGAGAATACAGTCCTTAAAGGAGTGTGTTGGTTGTTGTCGTCTTCCCCACCGTCGTCGTCATCATCTCCCCCCCCCCGGCGCCTCTCTCTTCTCCATCATTTAGGGTCGTCGGCCTCGAGTTCACTTCGTGTCCATCTTCTGAATCCAGGCTTTCCAAACCGTCGAATGTATCAGACACGAGGTTGGATTCGTATTTCTTAACGGAACTGAGTTGTGGTTTGCATTTGCATGTGAAGCTTCAACTTCTGGATCTACACACGACTTACTCTCGGATTGTGAGGGTCCAATCTTCGTAGCGTGTGTGGGTTTGGGAAGCTGGGCCGCCTTAGGGTTTTCATGGGGTGATGATTTGGGATCCATTGAGATGGAGGTCAAAACTACGAGGGGTGACGATCAATGTGAGGAGAAGGATGGGTGGCGATGGAAGTGAGGAGAAGGATGGGGTGGCGATGGAGGTTAGGAGCGGTGGAGGGCGATGAAAGACAGAGAGACAAAGAACAAAGAGAGAAGGTTCAAGAGAAAGAGATTGGAGCGCATAAGTCGAATAAAAGTGGCAGAGGTGGGCTGAACAAAGGGAGTAAATGGTCAGGGATATAAAGGGTATTTCAGATTAAAAAAAACTTTCCTAAAATGGAAGTGTGAAGTTCAATTTGGACCGGCCTAAAAAGGAAAGTATGAAGATTATTTAGGACCAGAGGGAGTAATAAATAAATGATGAAGAGATAGATTACTACTTTCATTTTCGAACCCCAAAATATAGAACTTGATCAAATAAAATAATGAATATAAGCAACCGAATCAAATCGAACTAAATTGAACCTAATACTTTTCACTTTAATAAATCAAACTTCAAACCGAATCGAACCGAAACCAAACCAAATCACAAATGATTTTAGTTTGATACAAATTTTTCCAAACTGAATAAACAGATTTTTAAACACAAATAGAACAAAACATAATAATGGCATTTAGCGAGTACTCCCTCCGTCCCGCTATGATTGTCTCATTTTACCTTTTCGGTCCGTCCCACTAAGATTGTCTCATACCTTATTTGATAAAGTTTGTGTGGTTCTAAATCATTTCTACTTTATTCATACTTTATCAATTCAATATCAACCACATAAATCCACTTTTATTAATAACCACGTCACCTTCGTTCAAACCGGGGATGAGGCAGTATTATTTATTTTTCTTCGTAACCGAAAAAACATTGTCCGGGTACCTGAACCGCAACCCATAGTCTTTCCCGATAAGTTCATCCTTTTTTTTTTCTTTTTTTTCCCGATAAGTTCAGAACAAAGAGAATACCGAGCTTGAATTCACACGGAAGACTGAGAGGCAGATAGAGCTTGATGGAAGACTGAGATGAAAAATGGAATTGGAAAAGGGAGTTCAGAGATGGATAGTTGACATCTCAGTGTGGGAGCCAACTCCCCAGGCCTTTTCCTTCGCCATGAATTTTCTTCCGCAGCATGAGCATTCTTCCATCACTAGGTAACCTGCAATTCTTTCTCTTTCCCCCATGTATGTGTCGGATTTGATTGATACTTATTTAATTCGGAGCAAGATTATTGAAAATTTTAGAGTATAGACTGCAAAGTTGACTCCTTTGAATATTATAAATTCTAAGTACACCTTTAACCTTAGATAAGGGATTGATCTGATTGCTCATACAATCTAGAGTGGAGCTGGCAGCTCAATTTGTGAAATAATGGAACAGGTTACCCTAATGAGGGTCCTGACAGTTACAAAGAGAGAAGATTCTGGTGGTCTAGTGATTCCCGGGGAGCCGGTAAAAGTCGGACCATAGAATTGTGACCCCTGTGTTGCCGGCGAGGAGGTGAGAGGCGGCATGGGCTCGAGTCTGGGAATCTGCCACGGAAAACTGGACGGTAAACTCTGGAACAACGGTAATGGCGTCGGAGAGGACCATAGACCTGAGTTCGGGATGAGTTCTGACGTTGCGGCCGGCTGCAACACGACGGACATCGTCGTGGCGCCAGTGAAGGAGTCAGCCATGGAGAGAGGCACGGTGATCGAGACAGAAGCTGGGGACGAAGAGAAAGCCTCTGCCATGGTGTAGGCATCGCTGGTCGTCCCGACGACATCTGCAGCGGAGGTAGCGGCGCTAGTCTGCATAGTGGCGGCGCAGTGAGCGGGAAAAAAATCTAGGGTTTTTGAAATTTTTAAGCTCTTGATATCATGTGAAATAATGGAACAGGTTACCCTAATGAGGGTCCTGACAGTTATATTTATAATAATAAGAGTTGCCAAAAATACATAGGTATTCCTAATCTATATTAACTATTAACTATTACAATTCTGATCTTGATGGTGGCTGTTACTCAGTTTTGGGTGTAATAGTGATATCTAAGAAATCTTTATCTTTTGTTATGGATTTAACAAATGTTGTATGTTATCAACTAGATTTGTCAAAGTGGGAGATCGCAAACGAGCTCTAGTGAGCAGATTGTTGCAGTATTCTTTGGTACATCATGTATTGGGAATCCCATACAATGAGATATGTATTAGGCGGACTGTTGAGGGAAAACCATATCTGGTATGGCTTTATGGTGCTTAATTAATCGTGCTCAGGTCATTCTGTACCACATTGGATGTCTAAGATATCTGGATCTAATAATGCGAAAATGATTGGTGTACACCTTTTTGTGTACACCTTTTTGTGTACACCATTCACACTTTGTTTGTCCGCACAGACAGAGTTGTTTGTATACAGACAACTTTTGTATTTCCAGACGAATTGTCTATACAAACTTTACCACTTTGCCTTTAAAGTAAATAATTTGTGATTTTGTTTATTTCTCAATACTCTGCACAAACCGAATTAAACAATTTTTACTTTTCTTATTTCATAAATAACACAAGTTTGGCAATGTCGGGTGTCCAGAGGTAGTATATGTATGAGGCAAACCTCACCTCGTGAGAATCCTTTGGAGATGAGTTAGGCATAATTTAATATAATGTCTTATGTTTTGATCTTTATCTAGCTAAAAAAATATCTTTATCTAGCTCACCTCACTTTCGGCCATTTTAAAGAAAGGAGAAATTAGAGTTTGCTTCCCTCATTTTTAAAATCATTGCTATTTACACCTTAAGAGTCAAAATTTACACCCCACGATTTTTTCCAAATTGAAGTTTTCACCCAGTTTTTAACAGATTCTTTAAGCGTCAGGGTACTAATATGATTGATTTTAGAAATGCGGCGCAAACTCAAATTTGGATGAAAAATAAGGGTGCACTGTTTAATCCCCCATTTAAAAAATGTGTCTTTTTCATTATGGAAAGTATATGAATGAACTATTCCCCGTCCTGGTCATTTTCCATGTCTGCACACCATAGCTCTTAAGTCCCACCCTTTCACGACACGGGACTATCTTGGATTCTTGATGCATCTAATTGTCCTGCTCTCCTTATTCTTAAGGTACTTGGAAGTGAAGCTGTGGACTTCCCAAACTTCAACTTCAATGTCTCTCATCAAGGTGATTATGTTGCAATAGCTTCTGAACCAATTTGCCTCGTTGGGCTAGATATTGTTGACCATTTCATCCCTGAGAAAGAATCGCCCAATAAATTTATTCAATGCTTCTCAGTCTACTTCTCAGGATTGGAATGGAATAACATTTTAAATGCTGGATCTGACAATAAAATGTTAGGGGAGCTTTATAGGTATGATGCTTTTAATATCAATAGTAAAGAATATTAATGTATGGACTAGTTAATATTAGCCTTAATTAATTTTTTAACAAAATTTATCCCCCTTTTGTCTCAATTCAGCTCAAAAGCATGGTTGGTGTTAAATGTTAGTTGTCAAACATGGGCTACGGTCACTAATCACGAAGTTTTATTCATGTGTTTGAGAATGATGTTAAAAATAAATTACAGTCTGCATGGTGAGATGTTTGTCATGACATTTCAAAACTTTCGCAGATACTGGAGTTTGAAGGAGGCATTCGTTAAAGCCATAGGTAATGGTGTAGGGCATAGATTGGACGAGTTAATGGGAGAGTACTAAAAGATTGGAGATTTTGGCTTTTAGACTTGGGAAAGAATCACTTGGTTAGTTCTTAATGTATTTCTTACTCTCTCAATAATATCAGTTTCTTACTTGACATTTAAACAAGGAAAGAAATCATGAGTGCTTGTTTGGTCGAGCACCACGTTTTTCCAGATGTTGTGGCATGTTCAAGGTGGTTTTCACTTCTTATTGAACCAACTTTGCTTTCTGTGAATGTTTGGTTTGCCCACCGCAACACGTTGTTGCTTCTGTTACAGCTTCAATCACGTTTACGGTATTTGGGCATAAACTGCTAGGAAGAGATTTTCCATTGGTTTGTTTTTGTTCGTTGAGGAAAATTACTGTTACCCCTATGACTTTATAATAAGGTCAAATGTAATGGAGGTTCACTAAAAACCCACTCTTAAGAGTCATAGCACTTTATCATCATTATAAGCCATGATATGGCTGCTGGTCTTTAATCCTCCAACTTTGCTATTCACGGAAGAAATGTCTCTGAGAGTGGCATAGACGGAGGAATGCGAGCAACATTCATGACTTGGATTATTGGAGAAATGTATTGACTCTATTTTAGATAATTTCCATTAGATTTGACCGTCAATGGAGTGTGATGGGATAGATGTTAATAATAGAGGGAAGCTGTGAGAAAGAACAAACCTTAGACAACTGATTGACTTTTGTAATATAAAATTGAACTAGTAATTATGACATAACCTCATAACTCATAAGAATAACACTAATTTTCTGAGTATTTTTCAATAGTTATTTGAATAAACAAATGAATTTCATTTTTATTTCATTTTCATTTACCCCAGTGTCGCAAAAGCTCCCACCTATGGTGGGGTAAGGGGGGGGTGATAGGGATGTGGGTGCTAGTCTAGAAAGTAAGAGTAGGTATGGGCGGGTATACAAGAGGAGGCATAAATAGACTAGCCCGGTTATTAGTTAAATTCTGTTAAGCAACTAATAACCGCCTTCCTTTAGGGAAGGGTATAAATAAGAGCTCCTGCAGTAGGTTGGCAGGCTGTTTTTGTCATTTGGCTTGGGACTGGGACTTGGGAGTATTATCTCCTATTGGCTTGTATACGGTTTACCCTGTTAATTGTTGCTTGTGAAATAAGATACTGGATCGTGTTCTTATTCTACTGCCAGATTTACCTTTCCTTCTGTGAGAATTGTTTGCATTGTGTTTGTGATCTTAATTCCTGTGCGAGGTACTTATCATTGGTATCAGAGAGAGTCGATCGCTGGATGAGACAAACTCGCGCGAAGAAAATGGAAGGACGTTTGATGGCCGTTGAACAAAGCTTGGAGGATATGCAGAACAGGAATCAACAAGAGATGCGTGAGTTGCAGTCGAATCTGGAAAGAAGTATGGCAGCGAACATGGCAGTTTTGCAAGCGAGTATCGCGGCCTTGCAACCGCGGCCGCATGGTCATTCAAGGAGTAATTCGCATCATTCTTCGTCTTCGCATCGGACATCTCATCATTGCCGTCATACGAGAGAGGATGACAGTTCAGAGGGATCAGATCACCAATCGGTTTCAAACCGGAGCCGAAATCGTCAACATCATCATCGGAATCATCATCCTATAGGGAGGAAAATAGATTTGCCTCTTTTCAATGGACAGGATGCTTTCGGTTGGCTGGTCCGCATGAATCGCTACTTCCGACTGAACAAAACAGATGATGAAGAGAAGATCGATATAGCTGTTATGGCTATGGAGGACCAAGCCTTAAGCTGGTTTCAGTGGTGGGAAGGTCAATCGCAGCATTTGACATGGACGCAATTGACGAAGGATCTAACGCTGAGATTTCAGCCAGAATTGGTGGAAAATGCTCTGGGACCTCTGTTCAGTCTCAAACAAACAGGGTCTGTTGCTGAATACAGGGACAAGTTTGAGATAGCCATGGCATCACAAGGTCATTTAACTGAGGAGGTGTTGAGAGGGGCTTTTGTGAATGGGTTGAAGCGAGATATCCAAGCAGAATTGAAACTATATTCTGCCAGAACCCTAGCTGCAGTCATGAATACCTCTACTTTGATTGATAACAAAAATATTGAAGTAAGTAGCATGAGAAGTGAGGAGGAAGGAAGGAAGAAGGGGCAAATTAAGAATGCCAACTTGATTCAGTCTCACATATGGGGGGATGGAAACAGATGGAAGAGTCATTCCTCTAACTCTCTGATGGGAACCAGAACTAACATAGACAATAAGAGTAAGGAGGAGATGAAATTGCCTGAAACGAGAAGAAGTGGGCCCAGACTGTCACAAGAAGAATTACTGGATAGGAGCAGGAGAGGGCTATGCTTCAAGTGCGGAGAATTATGGGGAAAAGGCCATGTTTGTAAAATGAGGAACTACAAAATGGTTTTGGTAGAAAATTCTGAAGGAGAGGAAGCTTCTGATTTGGAAGAGGATGAGTCTGAAATGGAACGACCTGTTTCCATGGAAAATAGAACAATGCAGCTGACGGTTTTGAGCAAGGAAGGCATTCCTGCTATGAATACCTTTAAAGTTAAAGGCTATCTGGACTGGGATAGAGGTAAACAGATGGTGAGTGTGTTGATAGACACTGGTGCAACCCACAACTTTATATCCCAAAAGTTAGTGGATAAGTTGAGGCTACCTTTCAAACCTATTCAAGGTTATAAGGTGCAGATAGGCAATGGGGAGTGTATTCCTAATATTGGGAAATGTGACAAAGTTCGGTTGGAGATTCAGGGCAATGAACTGAGGCAGAATTATTATGTGCTAGAACTGGGAGGCACTGACATTGTTCTGGGAATGGAATGGCTGGCTGGGTTGGGAGATATGGAGGTTAACTTCAAGAACCAGAGTTTGAAATGGGAGTCCCAAGGTGCAAGTCACTGCATAGAAGGAAGTTCAACTTTGAATCAAATGGAGGTGCCATTGGAAGCTATGATTAACATACTGCATCAGACTGGCGATGGTTATCTCTTATGCTTTGAAGGACAATTGAAGGGGCTAGAACAGAAGGAAAGAGATGGAGAGGTTTGGCAGGGTATTATAGCTGAATTTCCTGAAGTTTTCTCACCCAATCTGAAGTTCCCACCTGAAAGAGACTGTGATCATGCAATCAACATCAAAGAAGGTGCAAATATTCCTAATCTCAGACCATATAGGTATACCTATGACCAAAAGAATGAGATTGAAAGGATTATTGATGAAATGCTGAAGGCAGGAATTATTAGGCATAGTAACAGTTCCTATAGTAGTCCGGTGTTACTAGCCAGAAAAAAAGATGGGGGTTGGAGATTTTGTGGGGACTATAGGGCACTGAATAAGATTACTATACCTAATAAATTTCCTATTCCTGTGATAGAAGAACTGTTGGATGAATTAGGAGAGGCCAGGATCTTCTCTAAGTTGGATCTTAAGTCTGGATACCACCAAATAAGGATGAAGGCTAGTGACGCCCATAAAACTGCCTTCAGGACACACGAAGGACACTATGAATACTTAGTCATGCCCTTTGGTTTGACTAATGCCCCTGCAACATTCCAATCACTCATGAATGAAGTATTAAGGCCCTTTCTGAGGAAATTTTCATTGGTTTTCTTTGATGATATACTCATCTATAGTAAGACCAAACTGGAACATGAGCAACATTTGAGGAGGGTTCTGAAAGTTTTAAAGCAGAATCAACTGGTAGTGAATCAGAAAAAGTGCTCTTTTGGACAACAACAATTGGTCTATTTAGGCCATATTATCTCTGAAAAAGGGGTGGCTGCTGATCCCAGCAAGATAGATGCTATGAGTAAATGGCCAGTTCCTAAGGACCTAAAAGAACTGAGGGGGTTCCTAGGTCTGACAGGATATTACAGGAGATTTGTCAAGGGGTACAGTCATATTGCTGCACCATTGACTTCACTACTGAAGAAGGATGGGTTTAAGTGGGATAGCAAGGTAGAAAGAGCTTTCGAAGAGTTAAAAAGTGCTATGATTTCTGTGCCAGTTTTAAGGGTTCCGGATTTCAATAAAATCTTTGTGGTGGAGACCGATGCTTCTGGAAGAGGATTAGGGGCTGTTCTTATGCAAGAAGGTGGTCCCTTAGCATATATGAGTAAGGAATTAGCTCCTAAACATTTGGCGAAATCAGTTTATGAAAAGGAGCTAATGGCCATTGTGTTTGCTATCCAAAAGTGGAGGCCTTACTTATTGGGGAGAAGATTTGAGATCCATACAGATCAGAAAAGCCTAAAATATCTAACTGAGCAAAGGGTGATGGGAGAGGATCAACAGAAATGGATTGCCAAGCTCATGGGGTACAATTTCACTATCATATACAAGCCTGGAATTGAGAACAAGGCAGCTGATGCCCTTTCCAGAAAATCTACCTATTCAGCATTATCTACTGTGACTTGCCAGGAATGGGAGGGGTTGGAAGATGAATTGCAGCAGGATAATGTATGCAGAGAGTTAATCCAGAAGATATTTGAGCAGCCAGACAAATATCCAAACTATAAGATGAGGGGAGGTATCCTATACTACAAAGGTAGGATGATGTTGCCTAAAGGATCAAACAGGGTGAAGAGCATACTCAATGAGTATCATGATTCTGCAGTAGGGGGACATTCAGGTTACTTCAGGACCCTGAAAAGGATTTCCAATCTATTCTATTGGGCAGGTATGAGGAAGGATATCAAGGATTACATTCTGGGATGTGAAGTATGCCAAAGGAATAAGTATGAGGCCCTTAAACCTGCAGGGCTGCTGCAGCCTCTACCTATTCCTCAACGCATTTGGGCTGATATTAGTATGGATTTCATAAGTGGCTTACCTAAATCCCAGGGAAAAGATGTTATTTTAGTTGTGGTGGATAGACTGACAAAGTTTGCTCATTTCATACCTTTGGCTCATCCATTTAATGCCAAGGGGGTGGCAGAAATTTTTGTACAAGAAGTGGTCAAGACTCATGGGTTTCCCAAGACTATTGTCAGCGATCGAGATAGTCTTTTCCTTAGTTCTTTCTGGACAGAATTATTCAGGATGGTGGGCACCCAGCTGAAATACAGCACTGCCTATCATCCTCAAAGCGATGGGCAGACGGAAATTGTGAATAGGTGTTTGGAAACCTATTTGAGATGTGTCACTGGGAAGAAGCCAAGACAGTGGGTAAAATGGCTTCCATGGGCAGAGTATTGGTTCAATACTAATTATCACAGCTCCCTAAAATGCACTCCATATCAGGCCTTGTTTGG